CCTATGTTTACTTTCCCTATATTCCAGCCAGAAGGCAATAAGCTTCTTACATTCATTAACTCTTCCCTCAGAAAGAAAAGATATGAGAGTTGCTTATCAAGTAGTACCACTTGAGTAAGAAAGGAATAGATTTCCGCAAATAGAGAATCTAAGTTAGAGTATAGTTGAGGAAGCTAACCCACATTTGCTCATGTCTCATGTAGAGTTAGAAGAAAGTAGAGCCCAGGTGGATTTGCACTAGTAGATTGATTAGCAAGTAGCACGAGCAGAAAAGAGGACCCCAGCCCCAGACTCAGTGAATCTCTGAGAGCAACACGCCTACCTCTTGGTTGTGTGTATCACATCTAGTTAAGTGAGTTAAATCGACGCTAGCTAGTGTTATTCCTTTCTTTGATTCTCCGCTACCCACCAAGGTAGAAGACTGCTTGATCCGCAAAAGAAGTATGCTTTATTTGCTTATAGAACAAAAGCATACGCTTGGGAAAGATAGACATCATATGGAATAGGGCATTCAGCAGTTTGAAGAGGTAGCCTTTTTCGCGCTCGCACATAATTGACACACACGCAAAAGTAGAGATCTTAATTTGAGAACTAATATCAAAGTTGAGACAAAAAAAAAAATTGGACCCTATAAAAGAGAATTCCTCAAATTTCAAGAGCCACGATCTGAGAGACATTGCTGGAGTTGCTCGATCCTCACATAAAACCCAACTCAAACTCTAACTTTATTGGAGACGACCTCACTAGGTTAGAGAAGAGAAGACAAGGTCAAAGTAACAAAATATTTTAGTTAGGGAAAGGATAGACTGATTTTTTTCTGTTCTTTTTGCGAAGGAGGGAAAGGATAAAAAGTTAAAAACGACTCTTAAGGTTCACAGAAAAAGAGAGCGAAACATATTTTTAGAGACATCAGGCAAGGATGATGAAAGGCCTAGCAGAAAAAGTAGAAAAGGGCGCCGGAAAGAAGAAAGGACGAGAATAAGCGTCAGCAATTTTCTTTTTGCATATATAATAAATATATAAAAATGTGCATGTGCGATGTTGAAGTACGGTCACCGGCCAGGGAATACGGCAATGGCGAGCTCTCCGGCCGACCGTCTCCACCTGACCTTCGACGCTGACACATTGCTTATCCAACATGCTAACACACAGCATCACTACTACTATTTCGTAATAACTTTAATATAATATAATATTATTATATCTAATCCAGTTAATAATCTACGACATCTCTTCAGAAGTTGATAAAGTGACAAGACAACAACAAATCCTCCTTTCTTTGTGCCTGTTCGCTCAAAGGAATTCTGGAGAAATTTGGATGGTTTGGAGGAATGCTGTAGGAATTTGTGAGAGAAAAACACTATTCCGGATGAAAAAAGAAGCAGATTAAGCTGGGTTTAAGGGCACGCGAACGGGCCTTTGTCCTTGCTGCGCAAAAAAAAAAAAAACAAATTAAGCTAACTGACGTGGCAGCAATTTCTAGGCTCTTGCATGAATTTCTACCCGAAACTTGAACGATTTTCACGTGAAATTTTCATGCAGTTTTGTCTGCCCAAGAATTACGGTGGCCGTAGTGGATTCAAATCCTCAACAGCCACCCGGATCCGGAACCCAAAACCCTCCAAGAGCAAAGCTCGTATCACCCACCCCTGCTCACATTTAAGTCCCACCACCTCAAAAACTGCAAGCGCACGACCACCGTCTCCACTCTACACCACCATCACCAGTTCACCACCGCCTCCCTCTCCGCTCTCTTCCTCCCAACGACTCAAACCGCCCACCACCAAACCAACGCTTCTGCAGCCTGCAGAGAGGGGCGCGGGCGGGCGCGATGGGCAACTGCCAGGCGGCAGAGGCGGCGGCGGTCATCATCCAGCACCCCGGCGGGAAGGTCGACCGCCTCTACTGGTCCACCACCGCCGCCGAGGTCATGCGGAACAACCCGGGACACTACGTTGCCCTCGTCATCCTCCGTGTTCCTGCCGATAACAAGCCCGCCGCCGCCGCCGCCGGGGACGCCGCGGCGTCTGCCGGCGGCGGTGGCGGGGCCAAGATCACCAGGGTCAAGCTGCTCAAGCCCAAGGACACGCTGCTCCTTGGCCAGGTCTACCGCCTCATCACCGCGCAAGGTTAGTTAGCACCCAGCTGTCCTGGCCATGGCCCATGACGCGGTTCAATTTGTGCCTCGATTTCTTGTCTTCGGCTCCGGTAATCTTCAAATTCTCAATCCATGATTGTGCTCCGCGCGCAGAGGTGACGAAGGCGCTGCGGGCGAGGAAGAACGAGAAGATGCAGCGGTGCGAGGCCATCAGGCAGCAGCACGAGCAGCTCCGGCGCGGCGACGGCGCGGACCATAGCTCTTCCAACCAGGTTGGTCACCGATTCTCTGACACCATTTTTTTTCCTGCTGCAAGAAGAAGCAGTTACTGATTCTCGCCCCCACGCTGTCTGTCGCTTCAGGACGGGAGGCAGGACAAGGACCGGCACCGGGGAAGAGGCCGGCACTGGCAGCCGGCGCTGCAGAGCATCTCCGAGGCCGCGAGACAGAGCAGCAGCAGCTTCTCTGAATCCGCCACCAGCTGAATGCTACTGACCGGACTCTGCCATCCGGCCGGCGCTCTCTTTCTTTCTTTCTTCTTTTTTTTTTTGGATTTCTGTTTGCTTGTTAGTAGTATAAAGTGCTTGAGCCTAGCCAGAAATGAAAAAAAAGAACTGTAAATCAGAGTGTCAGAGCAGGATCAATAGGAAGCTTGTTTCGTCTCTCATGTGATTTGGCATGGTGAAGCTGAAACTAGAACTGCGTATTCAGATCAATCGGGTGGTTTGCCAGTTGCTACTTCTCAGAGCATGAACACTGAGCAGAAAGGAAGAAAAAGGATGCAGTCCTTACTCTTCGATCCAGAAACTGAGTTCATGCTCTGAGAAAAAGGTTTAAGCACCGGACTCTTGTACCATACGGTATTATTAGTCTTCGCATCACTAGCAGAAACTGGGTTCAGATAATCTAGTGGTTTGGTAATTGTAACTTTGCAAAGCTTGAAGTCTGAGCACAAAGTGAAAAGGAAAAGAACACAAGTCTTACTATTCTCTCACTTCATTGTATCAATCTTTGGTCGACAGCAGAAATCATACAATCTGAGTATCTGACAGATAAACAAAACAAAAGAATTTCAATTTCAGACTGGAGATAAGTATATTTCGAAGCTGCTCGAGACTCGAGAGACAAATACCAAAACTGTAGCACAGACCATCATACATACATGTTGCAAATCTTGATTCTAGAGCACTGCTGGCGTCCAAATTACTCATAAACTAGGGACAGTACCATTCTTCATCTAGAATTCGCGATGTTCGAGGCGCCTTCGTTTTGAATTTCAGAATTAATCAGAGGCTTACCAGTTACCAGTGAGCGACTGACTGTCAGATGCTAAGCACATGCGATTCAGTGTAAAATACTCGGCAGACGAGGGCAACACCACTGCTGCTGGTGATGAAGCAAGTGTTTAGGGGCGCTAAGTTCCATGAGACAACTTGGGGGAGACGCCGGCAGTGCCAGCCCGGACGGACGCCGTCCATGGTTGCCAGTGGAACTCCAGCCAGCCGCTGGCCGAGCCGAAACCGCCCGCGCACGTGTGGGCGTGTGGCGTGCTGCTGCCGCCCACCGCTGCGGTCTTGGGATTCAGTCCGGCTGTCCTGCAGCCTGCACGAGGGTCAGCTCAGCCTGCACTGCATTGGGAACAACTGAAACTGAACTCAGCCAATATTGTAGTATTGGGCCTTGTTTAGATACCCTCAAAATTTCAAGTTTTTTCACTCTCTCTCCATAACATCAATTTTTAGCCGTTTGCATGGAGCATTAAATGTAGGTAAAAAAAATAACTAATTGCACAGTTTAGTTGGAAATCACGAGATGAATCTTTTGAGCTTAGTTGATCCACGATTGGACAATATTTACCAAATAAAACGAAAGTGCTACTATTCATCGGTTTGAAATTTTTTTCAATCTAAACAAGGCTTGTGGCTGGCTATACAGGGACCCGGATCCACATGCAACAGACAGTGCTTCATATTACGGCGGCCAGTGATCGTGGCCTTGTTTAGATACTCTCAAAATTCCAAGTTTTTTCACTCTCTCTTTATTACATCAATTTTTAGCCGTTTGCATGGAGCATTAAATGTAGGTAAAAAAAATAACTAATTGTACAATTTAGTTGAAAATCACGAGATGAATCTTTTGAGCTTAGTTGGTCTACGATTGGACAATATTTATCAAATAAGACGAAAGTGCTACTATTCATCGGGTTGAAATTTTTTACAATCTAAACATGGCCCGTGTTCACTAAAGTGCAGTTGAGCATGCGAGTTCTGAGAGATGTTGGACAGAGATCAGACGCACCAAGATCGCCTCAGCATTTTATCGGTCCTCGCCTTTTAAGGTTTATTACGCGAGGCAATTACGGTATAATACAGCTGGGTGATTTGTGTGTCATGCCCCTCTAGTGGTTCAGATCCAGATCTTAAGAGTATTGGACTATTGGGTGGGGTTTTGTTTGATAATTTGGTCTGGGATCCATGCATCCCGTCCCGGCTCAATGATTCTGGAAGGGGCAAAAGCCTGATTAGCAGCGTGCGTGCGTGCTGCTAAAGGGCAAAGTGGTGTATCATTGTTCAAAGAAAGTCTGAATCTGAATCTTTTTTTTCTTTTCTGAACAGATCAAACTGTTGTGGTTGGAATTGGTAATCTAATACATTCCTGGCCCAAAGAGCCCATAACAAATCTGGAGAGGAGTAAGCGGATATCTGAACATATACAACCATACAACATTGACAAGACGGTTCAGTATCTGAAACTAGCAGCAGGAACTACTGACAAGCTCCACAAAACAGATACGTACAAAAGCCTCGTCACACGATATCCCATCTCATTGCTAACAGCACAGATTAGCAAATGGTAAATTAGGGAAGCAGCTAAGAACATTAGGAAGGACGAAGTCTTCGTTTTAAAGATCATCGGTTGACTCCTGGCTCGCACCTACCAAGACATGAGAATGCCCAATCGGTACAAGAACATGATAGTATAAAATCAGGAAAGGAAAACAGAAAGTCTAGATCACAGGCCGTACCAGCTGGTGTCAGCCAATCCTGAGTACAAACAAGCTCTTCAACCCATTGTTTACTACCGGACTCGGATATTGCTAGTGTTGCGGTTCTTGTTGCAGCCTTCCAGTCACTAATGCATGGTAGTGCCAACACATCGCGCGCCATCCGAGCAACCGTGGGATAGTTCCTGCTGTGTTCCTTCCACCACTGGAGATCACTGGGTTTACCTGCTGCTCCTTTTAAACCAACGGGCTCACTTGTCATGAGATGTGGTGCTTGCAAATACTGATCAAGTTCAGTCATCGGTCTCTCACTACACCGGTGCCAATGACGATCATACTCCACCAGCGTATCAACATCTACAACAGTTCCCTTGCTAGTTTTAGACCCAGAAGTGTTGTTAGGGTCTTCTGCCTGATCCAAATACTCATTGAAGAGGCTGGCCAATGTATCAAGCACATCGTTTTTTTCCAAACCAAAAAGCCAAACGGAGGACCTAATGCGCTCCAGGCGGTATTCAGGTTCCATGATCATAGGCATACAGCAATGGAAGAAGCAGATCTTCCAGCTTTCCTTGAACTTATTTTGCATCTTCTCCAGTATTTTGGAAAATGTGTCATCATCCTTGTAGCAGCAGATAAGAGATTCAAAATGCACATGCTGCTTCACATTCCACAGCATGTTAAATAAATGAGCTGGAGTAGGGTATCTTTTTGTGGAGCCCACGTCTTTAAGAAGACTGTCCAATTTATCACAAATCTTCCCTGCTGTCAACCAATCTTCTGATGACGGTGCATATCTGCAGTTGGGATACTGTACTGCTGCAGGAGTGCGACCGTTTGTACACTTAGAGAACTTTGACAGCTTCTCCAAGGTTATCTCGAGTTCATCCAGCCCCACCTGAATAACCTGGTCAACTAAATGAGTTGCATAACGTACCACAAACAAGCTCTGGTTGGCAGAAAGTGGATTCCGTTCCTGAAGGTTGGCTTTGACACTCGAAGCCACTGAATTATCAATGAATGCATCATCCAATATGATGCAGAAAACCTTGCCATCGAGGCCCCAATGTTCAACAGCTCCCGATATGATATCACTCAGCTCCTTTGCATTGCAGGAGGAATCCACGGCACGGAATGTGATGACCTTTTGCTGCTTTTCCCATTCACCATCGATGTAGTGAACTCTCAAGCACAAGAATGCCAAGACTGGGTCATAGTGCCACATATAGACACTCAAGCAAACACGACTGCGTAAGACTGTAAACTCCTGCATAAGCTTGGATTTTTCTTTCTGAAACAAGTTCAAAGTGTTCATCATCAGGTCGTTATGGGATGGCATCTTGACTAAAGGATTCAACCAAGTAACTAGCTCTCTGAATCCATCTTGATCCACCATCTTTGGCAGGTGTCCATGCATGGCCAGTATCATGATAAGTTCTTCATGAGAAGCATTCTCATCCACCTGATGCTTTTGACTCATGTCAGCAGGGAATACGATCTGCTCAGCTGATGTGTTTTCCTTGTTAGATTGATTCCTCCAATTGTTATCAGTGGAAATTCCAGGTAAAGCTAGATTCTTCTGCTCTGCAAGATCCTCATGAGATCCATTCTGATCAACCTCTTGATTCATCCTAGTCATGGTGGTGGGAGTGTCAGGCAAGGCAAGCTCCTTCTGCGCAGGTGTCATGTCATCTTTGCCCACAAATTTCTTTTGGTTAGATGGCAAGAATGGGAGCTTCTTCTGTTTAGGATCAGAGCCAGCTGATACCGTGCCCTTCTGTGTAGATGGCAAAGATGTATGCTCCTGCATCTTTGCCCTCTTGAGAGTCGCAGGGATGCAACTGGCCAGGTGCCGTAGCAGGCTGCTAGTGCCATTGGTGCCACCGAAGACCTGGTGGCAGTGCATGCATTTAGCCTGCACGATCCTCCCTTCGGCAAAGGTGGGTATGAAGTCATCCCACACCTTGGACCGGAGTCTTTTGTTCAGATTTGTACCAGAGAACAGCGGGCTGGGGATGCTGCCAGTGCTCTCTTGTTCAACTAAGTCATTGGCAATGGCATCCATATCTTCTATGCCTAGGAAATAAAAGAAAAGACACAATATTAGTACAGGGAGCAATTTATCATAAGATTGCAATATCTGAAATTTGTGGCAATGCAATGGAATAATTTTTTATTAAAGAGGTTAAGTTAACAAGCTTCTTTCTATAACCCTAGCCCCTAGGAATAACAACAGAAGAGAACTAGTGAATGCTAAAGACTAAATCTGATGTTCCGAAATGTCAGTAGAGCTTGTGAGTGTAAAACAACATGAAAGTTGAAGCAATAACACGAGTGCTGCTAATATTTCGTCCACAGGAAAGAAAAAGGTAAACAACATTGAAGAGGCAAGAAGAACATACTAGTTAATCATGTATTGGAACTACGTATCAGACTACAAAGTTATAGCTATCACTGCACATAAAAGAGAGAGAGAGAGAGAGCCGTACCGTTCACCATTTTATGGTTTCTTGTCGATGAAAATTCAGACTTTTCTCACTGTCACACTCTATCCACGCCTAGTTACCTACAAAGTACAAACCAAGGAAACCAAATCATCCATCCTGATCTGCACAATCGCTTCCGAAGCAGATGATCAATCGCGAATCAACTGAAACCAAAGATATACGGAGATTAACAAGTCCAGGTGCAGTTGGTCTCCCCCTCCCTCCCCACGAAAAACAAACAAAACAGAACATCAAGAAATAGGCGAAGGCGAAGCCCATACCGATCTTTGCAATCCCACGGGAAGGGGCGCGGAGCTGGCTTCTCGGAAGCAGGGGAGACGGAGGGGGGAACGCAGCATTCTTCCTCTCGGCGTCGGCGGGGAAGAGACGAGGCGGGAATGGAGGGAAGGGGAAAACCGGGAGCAGCCTTTCCCGCCGCTTTCCTCCCGCTAAACTGCCCGCTGGCATGCTCGGCGCATTGCGGGATGGGCGGGCCTAAGACTGTCTCCAACGAGCCACGCGTACCGTTACCCAAACGCATTTTGGTTCAGCACAGTGAAAAACGCCGTCCAACAGAATAGACAAATAGAGCACCTATTTTGTGTAGAAGGAGAGAGGAAATGCAGATATGCGTCCTCTTTCCGTCGTCTCTCTCATCGACAACGCCAGTGTGGCAGAACCACGACACGGCAGTCCATGGCCGCGGCCACAGGCGCGGGAGGACGGATCCGGCCATGGAGGCATTGGATCCGGTCGTGGAGGCCCCGGATCGACCCCATCAAGGCCGAGAAGCACAGATCGACACTGGACCTAGGCACCGGCGAGGGAAAGAGAGGAGTAAGGGAGAGATGCCACCTTCACCTGGTCTGCTCGCGTCGAAGAACCCGTGCGCTGGTGGCGCCCCTGGGGCCCACCAACCCACGCCGCCATATCGCGTCGCCGAGAGGCGCGCTCGCCCGCACCGCTGGCCGGGTGGGGAGCACCGCCGCGCCTGGGCGTGCTCGTCCCGCGCCGTCGCGCCGGGCCTGGAGGGGCGCCCTCGCGCCGCCGCGCCTGGGCGCGAGATTGGGAGCGGCGAGATGGCCGTGATGGAGCGGCACGTCGCCACGGACGAGTCCGTGTGGCGCAGGCTGGCGAGGAGCAGCAGATTTTTTTGGTTCGCTGTTGGAGAATAAAAATTTTGGGTCGGTGATGCAGCTACTGTACGTGACCCAAACCTCATAATGAGTATCGTGTTTGGATTTGGTCCGTTGGAGATAGTCTAAGCCCAGTGTATTTTGATTGGGGGTGGTGTGGGGTTGTTTGCTATAGGCTGGGCTCCCTGAGCCCAATGTTTATTCGGGACAACCTACACAGTACTGCTTGACAAGAGAAGGACGAACTCAACGCCTTGCTTGCAGTTGCCCCGCCACCCTGCATCCACCTCGCCGCCACGGCCGGCGAGCCGCCGTAAAGGTCGCCGCGTCGAGGTCTCCAGGAGCCGCGCTGCTGCGGAGGAGACGCGCCGCCCTGCATCCGCGGATCTGCCTCGCGGCCTTGCCGCCGCCGCCGGCCAAGGAGGCGCCGCGGTCCGTGGAGAAACTGCTGCGCCGGCCGCCGGGAGGTCGCGTCGTCGCGACTCGCGAGGTTCCGCGTCCGCCGCAAAGGTCGCCCCTCGCGTCTCGCGAGATGGAGGATGGAGCGACGGCGTCACGGCCTCAGGCACAGGGCCAGGGGAGCCGGGGAGGATAGGGTCCATCGAGTGAGTGGAGTGCTTGGGCTTCGGCTCTTGGGCCATCTCGTAGTTGGGCTGTTGGGCTGCTGGTGGCTTTTCCTGCGAACTACAGACTGGTGTGCTCGCTGCTCGACGGTAGGATCGCTGGGTCGGTTTCTTTGCCCGTTCGGTTCGGGTGGGACCTGAAACCGAAGCCGATGCCGACACCCGAAGTTCTCGGATGCCAAAACCGAAACCGAAACTGAAAACCGAAAAAATCGAGATCTTGGTTCGGTTCGGCTCAGTCTTCGGTTTCCGGTTTAAAAGTGCCAGCTAGCATATTTCAAACCTATTATGCCTATTATCTATGGTATATCTATATACAACAATGTTAAAAGTATGATGTAAGTTCGCTGGGAGGATCCATAAATTAGAAAATAAGAAAATAAGTATGTACTTTGGGATTTATGATGATCTAATAATTTAGATTTAATAATAGAAAAATATGCTTAATTGGAAAAACAACATGCATTATTATTAATTTTAGTGATCATGTGATGATCTAAGATAACTCAAGTTCCTATACCAAATATCATCAATATATAGGTAAGTTTAAAGAATTAAAAAAGTACATAAAAAGAGAGTCTTTGGAAAATGAGCATGCATTATTAATTTTAACGATCGTATGATGATCTAAATTAGCTCAAGTTCCTATACCAAATACAATCAATATGTAGGTAAGTTTATAGAATTTAAAAAGTACATAAATAGAGAGTTTACATTAGGTACACACTCCCTCCGTCCAAAAATAGCTACACATATTGCTCTTTGAGGAGTCAATATTTATAAAAATATTATCAATATTTGTATCTCCTAATATTTACTATAAAAATATATTTCACTATTAATATAATAATAATAATAATAATTGGACATCATGAATATTAGTATTTTTTTATACATTTAGTCAAATTTAATAATGTCAGATTTCTTAAATACAAGATATGCAACAATACGAGATAGTCAAATTTTGGGACAGAGAAAGTACAGTTAAACTTCATAAGATTCTATGATGGGACTATTACACAACAATACCCATCCAAATCACCTCGGATCCTATACATAAAATATAATAAAATATATTCAGTTTCTTAATAAATTAACTTGAGTTGTCCTAAGTTAGATAGATTTTATTTTTGCGAGTAAAGAGAGAATTTAATTAACTAGGTATAACGTTTATAAAATCGACAGTGAGGGGATCGTCGACACATGCAGGTGTTGGCCCCCACCGAGCCTCTGATAGTTTACTACGGCTTGCTAGACTAGCCAAAGCATTTGCCACTTCGTTCCCTTCTCTCTTCACTTGGGACATATTCCATTCACCCAGCAGGCGGGTCATGTTCTTCGCCTCTTCTATCACAAAACTGGTCTCCGATTTGTCTCTCCCTAGGGTCCTCATAGCTGATATAATCCCCAAGGTCACCATGCAAGAAAGCATTTTTTACATCTAGCAGATGCGAGGTCCACCCCAAAATTCGCTACATTGGTTGGAGATAAAAGTTCTCACCATAGGCGAGTGATGTTCTTCGACTCTTCTATCACAAAACTGGTCTCCGATCTATCTCTCCCCGGGGTCCTCATAGCTGATATAATCCGCAAGGTCACCATGCAAGAAAGCATTTTTTACATCTAATTGATGCGAGGTCCACCCAAAATTCGCTACATAGGAGATCAAAGTTCTCACCATACTCATCTTCGCCACTAGGGCAAATGTCTCATCATAGTCAATGCCATTAGTTTGGCTATAAGCCCTAGCAACAAGTTGAGCCTTGTATCTTTCAACCCTACCTTTAGGGTTTCCTTCACAATGAACACCCATTTGCAACTTACAACTTTGTTTCATGTAGGTAGTTTTCCAATATCCCAAGTTTTATTCTTTTCAAGAGCTCTAAGCCCCTCCATCGTGGCCTCACGCCACTTTGGATCTTGTTTTGCTTCTCTCCAATCTCTAGGAATATAGGTAGATTGTAATGAAGCAATAAATGCTCTATATGCACAAGATAATGATGCATATGGGATAGTTTCTTATGTCATGCTCAAAACCATACCTTTGTGCAGGTACTACTGCATTGACTCGTGTACCTTTTTGTAGTGCAATGGTTATCATCTGAGGAGGGGTTTTCAACATCAATCTCTGAGGCTAAAGATATATCAATAATTTCTTGTTCACTTTCATGCCCTAGGGTAGAAGGACATTGTTTAGATGTCGGTGTTTGGACCAACTCTATGGTCTCTTGTTGAGATCTAAACTTTCTTCTTGCATATACTTTAGATATCTCTCTATTTTATAACCCCAAATCTGCTCCATTTGTTTCAATAGGTGTGGAACCACCAATTGTCACCTCCACTCTGCTTGACTGTTCCTGAGCAGGTTCACGACGAACATTAGTATTCTCTCTCTTGACTAGACTCTTCTACACCCATAAGATTAGGTCCATCCACCAGTTATGGAATTGTTTCAATAACAATTTCCATTTTCCTTGTTTGATGATCACCTTGTCTAGTTTGTGAAGCTTCATTCTCCCCCTCTCACCATCACCATCATTCTCTCCCTCTCGACCATCACCACCCATACTAGGTGAGTCAAGGTCATAGAATAAAGAACTTAAATCTGTATTCTCTCCATAAAAGGCTTAGACTCTCTGAATGTAACGTCCATACTCATGAACAAGCATCGTTCACTAGGACTCCAGCACTTGTACCAGTTTTGTGTCAAGGAGTACCCCACAAGATACACTTTACTGCCTATGGATCTAGCTTCCCCACTGAAAGTCTATGGTCTCTAACAAAACAAGTGCAGCCAAACACCTTGAGTGGTATAATAAATTCATTCTTCCCAAATAGCATTTCATAAGGAGTCTTCATATTAAGTATTCTTGATGGAATTCAATTGATAAGATAAGTAGCAGTCAAAATTGCCTCACTCAACAAGAATTTTGGCACATTCATTGTATACATAAGGGACCTGGCAACTTCTAAGAGATGACGTTTCTTCCTTTCAACTATTCCATTTTGTGGAGGTGTATCTAGACAAGAAGTTTGATGCAATATCCCCTGAGCGGAAAGGAAAGTAGTAAATTCATTATTCACATACACGTTGTCCCATTATCCGTTCTAATCATCCGAACCTGAGTATTGAACTGACTCTTAACACATGCACAAAAATCTTTGAAGCATTTGAGTACCTCACCTTTATGCCTCATGAGATATACCCATGTCATGCGAGAATAAAAATATTCAATGAATGTCACAAAATACTTCATTCCACTAATAGAGACCATGGGAGATGTCCAAACATCAGAATGGACTAATATAAAGGGCATTGTGCTTCGATGTCCTTTGCTAATATAGGAGGTTGTTGTATGCTTCCCAAACCCACATGCATCACACATCAACTTCCTTTTATCAACCTTGACCATAATATCAGGGAATGCCGTATGCATAGTGTCAAAGGTCATATGACCCAACCGACAATGTTGAAGTATCACCTTAGTCTCTTCGTCACTTGTAGCAACTGCTAGAGCGGTGCACGTGGTCTCACTTATTTTTCTATCTAAGAACCATAGGCCATTATGCCTAATGCCACCCCAATCTTCCTTCCTGTCAAATAATTTTCTCGGTCAAGCGTAACACGACAATCCATCTGATCCACCAATGCACTTATGGATACTAGACTAATAGGAAAAGATGGAACATATAGAATAGAAGATAATGT